AATTCTGACTGCTACTCCTGTCACGTGACACGATTTATGAACGCCATGACCTGTTTGGGCTTCAATCGGGAAACAGCGACACGGCGAAAAAAAAAGGCGATTGTAGGAGCAAACAGCCAGGTACAATGAGTAATAAATGCAAACTGAGATAGATAGATAGATAGATAGATAGATAGATAGATAGATAGATAGATAGATAGATAGATATAAGTAAACCGAGATAGAAAGATATGGGTATGGAAAAAATCAATTAAAAAATCTAAGCTATGTTTTTTTTTTAATTCATATGTAATTAGACAATATTTACAAAATGTTTGAGGCCAACCAAGATATCCAGGTAAAGACTATTATTACATAATCTTATAATAATTGTACTTGTCCCTCCTTTCGTTAGTCCGCACGACCGTTAAGCCCTGCCAAAATAATATTAATCATATTGCGTGGAAAGAGGGTAAAAGACAATACTTGGTTTCAATGAGAAAATAAAAGAAAGAAAGAAGGAAAGATAGAAGTAGAGAAAAAGAAGTGAAGAGAGAGAACCAGATTAAGCGGATAAGAACAGATACTACACTTTTGATCTTAGGCAAAAGGCCGAGAAGCAATTGTATTTTCTTGCCGCCCCACACAGGTCAATTTAATGTAAGGAGCACGAGCGCATGCACCCGGGCCAGACCCCTAAATAAATTCAGCACCCGCAACCGTCGGTTCCGCTGTTATCAGTATTACTATCTGTTGAAGCTTGGATAAGCATGGAATAATAATAATACAACACAAAATGTACGTAAACAAAATGTATTGAAACAAGGAAAAGGTACACAATATTTACAGTTAGTTTTGGTATATTCTTGGGAAGACTGTTCCTGTAGAATGGGTTGACTTAATCGCAGTCGGGCAGAGTCTCTGGATTGGATCTCTTGTTACTTCCTTGGTCTTCCCGGTACCAACCCATATTTATATGGTCGGTACTCCACTATGTAAATTAGGTGGATCGTACCACAACACTATCGAACACCATCTCTTTATTTCAATGAGAAAGGTACTGCATCGGCCAGCTGTTCCCCAAGACCGGGAACCTCTAATTGATATTTTCAGTTGCGCTCTGTCCAAAGACAGAAAGGAATCTGAGCGGTGAAATGGACTTTATCCGCCCAGTGGCAGATACTACACTTTGATCCCAGAGCAAAAGGCTGAAAAGTGAATGTATTTTTCAGCCCGCCGAATGTGATACAAGGTCGAAGTTTGGAGTGAGTTTACAAGCAATACCGTGAAGAAATTCCCCAAGCTCCCTCGGCACTTACCTTTTTGGGGACGTCTCAAGTGCCAGGAAATAAACCCAGCCCCCTCCAGAAGGAGAGGTATTGCCTGGTAGAGGTAAGGCTCCCTAGGGCTTGGGCTGAAACTGTTTACTATCCCCGAACCCCACAAAGGCCGAGAAGCAATTTTATTTAATAATGATATACACTATTTGTGGCACAAGGCCGAAGGGACAGTGTGGAGAGGCTGGTTATCAGTAACTATCCTACTCCTAGCTACTTATTACAAATTAAAGTACAACCTCATCATCTAAAGGGAAGTTAAAATTGCATTTGAATTTTGGCCAAAGTTGACGTTGCTTAACTTTCATGATCACTCGAAAAGCGTTACTAATAGTATGTCTGATTGTCACTCATCCAGTTTGTAATCCAATTTAACGTAGCTTAACTTAGCTTTAAATTCATGCTATGTAAAAGTGATATATTTTACAACCTCGGGACGTAGAGAAAATCGAGTTGAAATGGGTTCAGACCGAGACAATGTCCTTCATCTTTAATTAAAAGTGCTGCAATTCTAAGACGTGATTTCATTTGAAAGTGGCCGAACTGAACACAACTTTCTACTTCATTTTTTTTTTACAGGATTGACGATCCTCAGTTCTAACCAGACATAATGTTTCTTAACTTGGGTAATCTGACATGAAGTGCTATTTGACATGCTGTGAAGTCAGGTCGAGAAAGACGGGTCACAACGTGCATCACTCACGTCACTTAATAAGAATTGCGGCTAAAGAATGTCTTTATTATTTTTGTTTGTTTTTTTTTTTGGTTTTTTCGCAAGAGAAAACCCCACTCGTTTACCGAGCTCCGTTTTTATCAGAACAAAGTATGTACATTATAAGAATTTCTCTGTCCAAGTGTCTCGAATCCTCCTTATCTACTCGGAACAACTTCTTTATATAGGCATACTAGATTTGTAGAAGCTATGGCAGCCAAGTAGTCTTCACTACGTAAACAAAATTCTTATGTAATATTTCTTAAATGGAAAATATGAAGAAATAATTAAATACAATAAGAAGTTCTTAACCCAATAATTAAAACGATTTAACACTACAACTTAATTTTCTTCCATTTCAATGCACTTAATTCGGTAGTGAATAATAATCACAGAGAAAATCAGTGAAAATTCTAAATCAATATTCTGTTAATAACTGTATATCAAATTTCTGGTGTTGTTTCGTGCGTAAAATTGGAAACGTTATTATTAAAACTTCTTATAAAAGGGGTTGATCCACTGTCTTCACGACTATCCGTCCTTAGGGTAAGACGTACACTTTGACTTTGCAAGTAGCAGCTGAATTTTCTACACAAGCCTTCACAACTCATTAGGACATTGGGTTTCGATTTTAATATATTCATCATTGGTTTTACTCCTTCTCACAGCACCTGCGAATTGACAGGACAAAATACTTTTAGAACCTTTTTTCTCTAAATTTTTTACAAATAAATCAAATATATATGAGATGAGAACAAATGGCACAGTGGATAAAGGCGTTAGTTAGATCCAGTGACAAGACCCAAAGAGTGTGAGTTCAATACCTGGTTATGGCAGTGGAGAACTTGGAGAGGGGAATTGACAGGAGATAACTGATAACTGACATCCATTAAACATGGCACGTGGAACTAGAACAGTCTACCCCAGTGAGCGAAATAAAAGGTTCAGTTCGACATTCCAACCACCTGAAGAAGGCCGGAGCGTACAACGGCCGAAACGTTGTAATAAATATAGCGACAAAGATGAGGACAATAGTCCAAATAGTGTAAATCAAATATAGATTTACCTTTTTGCTTTATGAACCAGCGAACAGGCATCTACATAATTTAGTAAGGCAGACATAAAAAGAAACTTTTATATTGAATAAGTCATCCTATCTTTTTAATTTAGTGCTAAATTCATCCACGTTTTAAAAGAACGTAACTAAATTCCAATTTTATTGCCATTGAAACGAACATTTCCAACATAGAACCAAATCCTCCAACATAAATATGAGAGTTATAAATATCCCTGTCCTTATGGAGACAGTGGCTGCTGGCACGTTTGCAATTACTGAGGCCGAATTCAGTTTTCGAAAGATAATTACTTCAGAAACGTAATGCAATATGCTTTCAGCACCGCCACCAGAACAGCTTGCGAAACTTCAGGTTTCTGTTTTAGCAAACAAAGAATATAACGAACTCAAAGTAGCTTTTATTTCCATTCAAGAAAAGAAAGAAAAACTTGAACATTTTGCTGAACCAGTCCAGAAAACAAGAACGATGTGGCAGGCCTTTTTAGTGATTGAAAGAGTTAATGGCGACAGCCGACACATTTGAAATAGGAGAGAACTTCGCACATACCCGACCGCCAACTATAACACCAAATTTTATAACGACTGGCTGAACTAAGAACAACCTTATCCGACGTATATATTCTTGCACATTGAAGGAGTGAGGTATGTGAGCTTTTTTCACGGATCACAAATTAACATTGGCCTTCGATAAAACAACACGAATTAGACAAAGAACAAAGACATTAGTATTTGTTTACTGATTATGTTGCAGATATTATGACCATTCATAGAAAAGGCGACATTTTTCTAACTGCCTTTCAAGGCCAGCATATGCAGTAATTAGAAAACTCTGGGATTTACTAACCCTCGTTGAGCAAAAACAGTGTGAAACAGAAGTAAAAGTTTATACAGACAGACTTAAAGCTTACACTTTTAATAACAATACCATACTATATGGCATCTCAAAACTTTACCCAAGACCGTATCTTCAACAACGACCGCACCAGGCAATTTATCACACCTTCTACAATGTCACACCTAGGGCCTACATTCACAGTGAAACTAATCTACTAATTTGGATCAAACATAGACAAGAATATACGTTCATAGTCCAAGTTAATCCCCGTATTACCCCGTTTGCAATGGTACTAGTCTTACTATATTCTACCGGATCTGAACAGTGCATATCGATATTGTAGGCCTATTACAACCAGCTATCACTCACAGCAGTACATATTCCTCCCCAAAGAGACACATCCTAACATGTATTGATAGAGCTGACTTGAAAACTGTTTTTTTATTTTTTCATCATTGTTTTTACTTCTTCTACACAACAGACAACAGAACAAAATACTTTAATAACTTTAGTTCTTCAATTTTTATACACACCGAATATGTACCGATATACACCTCCATCTATCAATTTTCATTATTATCTTTATTTTGTTGTGATGATAATAAACAACAAAAAATGAAGATATTAGTAAGAAACATTCAGAATAATGAAAGCTGAGTAAAATGAAATCTGAGAACTTCAGTCGACTTCAACTTAAATGTTTTCAACAGTGAGTGGAATGAGATAAATTGAAACGAAGTAGGATTTAATATAAGAACGCTGTCAAGTTTCCTATGCTTTCGGCGACTAAGATGTTGGCATCGTCAAACGATGTAGCAAACTCCCGTTGCGTTCCTTTGAGTCTCGTCGAAAGTCACGTCTTCGTCCTGAATTTATTTCAAACTTCCAAAGCATTATCGAGCGAAACTGCTGCGATAAAATAATACATAAAACACAACAACACTGACAAAAAAAAATTGGGGAATAAATAAAAAAAAAAACCTTTAAACTACCATGATTTCTAAAGTTCCTCTTCATTTTGTCTGCTTTGCGAGTTTTACATTCAGAAGCGAAGACGAAGAAAGAGAAAATCTGATTTAGCTGATAATTTTTTCTGTCCTTTTTTTTTTTTTTTTTGTATGGAGGGTAACAAACAACGTAACAACGGGTCACGACTCACAGCATGTGACTGCGTTCTAAAAAATGGTAACAGTGAAAATCGTGGGAAACTAAATTTCTGTATTAATTAGAACACATTCATTTCAGGAAATAGAAAAGAAACAAGTCGAAACGTTGTGAAAAAGAATAAAGTCGAAGGTAATAGACCAATAATTATTGAGTTGTTTCAATTAAAAATAATGAAATAATGTTATCAAATCTGTATTACGTCGGGAATAAAACTCAGCGCCTCTTAATCTTGTTAGGATGAGTTATAAACTGTTACCGACTTCACAATAAAGAAGTGATCGTTAAAAGGTTTATTCTATTTCTTTGTTCGCTTATGAAGACAAAACAGGCTCAGTTGTCGATGCTTCATTCATACTGAACTGCTGTACGTCCCTACTTGGGATTGGTATAGACTCTTCCTGATATTTGTTATTTGCTGTATATTTTGTTTAAGCTAATAAAGCCTTATTTAAGGTTCTTCGATATTATGTTCTTTCTTGGCGCTTCTGTCCACATGAGAAGAAAAAAGATCATACACTCATTATGTTTCAATTTATCTCAGATTAAAAGTGTATATAATAGAACAAATAATCACATATGCAAATAAATAGGTGCATATTCTCGTCAGAATCCATCTTGCACATTTACAAATCTACCGTTCGTCCATGCATTGCATACTGCAGCCATATCTGGTCTGGTTCTCCTGCTGTACATCTCGAGGTACTTGACAAAATCCAAAGAAGGATCTGTAATATAATCAATCCTGACCTGGCATCTTGACTTCAGTCACTTTCTCACCGACGTGATTTTGCTTCCCCCAGTCTTTTCTACAAATATTTTCATGGAAACTCCTCAGACGAGATTTTTTTTTCTTGGTGCCCCGACTACATGAATTTAAGCGTGCTACTAGATTGGCTTCTAGGTGTCATCGTTTTACTGTTGAAATAGTTAAATTCAACCGGCACTTATACTCCAACAGTTTCTTTTCTCGCACTTCCCGCCTGTGAAACTCTCTTCCGATTACTTGCTTCCCTGATAACTACAATCTTTAAAAGATTTAAATGCAACATCAATCGCCATCTTCTATCTTCTTGAATCCCGTTCATCTTTTGTTCTTTCCCCAATCCTCCCTATACGCAGTCTTTTCTCTCACTTTCACCTCCTGTAACCTCCTGCGAATTAGTGGCATTTCCTGCCTTTCTTAGGGTGAAATGGTGCAAAAAGGTTCCAATATAAGTAATGTATCATAAGAATTCGGACTCCGTATTAATGAATACACTGTATATAACCTTCAAGCCCCAAACATAGGCCACCGTATTCTTGCATACGTACGGACGTGCAAATGGCTAATACTATTCTGTAATAGAATATGCCACACCCACAACATGGCAACAATCAACATAAAGATAGGCCAGACTTCAGAAACAAAATAAAAGAACTTATCTAAAGAAAATGACAAGTAATATGGGATTCAAAATTTAACTATACAATATTCAACCAACTATAGGAGAATGGCTCCGGCTTTTCAGATAAATAAGGCGGGAATAATAGTTTTATCCAGACTTCGAATAAAGACATCAATTCCTCCATCACACAACAGATATCAAGTGCCTCTCTGAGTCGAACATATACTCATAAGTTAACATCATCTTAGTCAAACCAATACAAAGGACTCAATACAAAGCAAACAATACAAAGGACTCAATACAAAGCAAACAATACAAAGTAAAAAATACAAAGAACTCAATACAAAGCAAGCAATACAAAGAACTCAATACAGCAAACAATAAAAAAAACTCAATACGAAGGAAACAATACAAAGAACTCAATACAAAGAATTCAATACAAAGAATTCAATACAAAGCAAGCAATACAAAGAACTCAATACAAAGAATTCAATACAAAGAATTCAATACAAAGCAAACAAT